CAACATATTGAACGTGGGTTTTGCAGCTTTTTTCTAATGGGTCTTCTGAGCACCTGCCCTTCTAAAACGTTCTCAAAAAACCACAAAAAGAGGTTTTGACTCTTTCACGTTAATTTATTTTTCATTCAACAATTGTAGCCATCGACTTTATTTCATCGATGTCTTTAGTTTCAGTACAACATACAGTGTTTTCAATAAGTTATTTATATCCTAGATATTGTATAATCTATAATTCCTAAGTCCTCAAAAATTTAGAAATACATATGTATCTACTTTTCAATCTAACATCTTCGTTTTCATTTCAAGTTTTATTTTGTGTTCTCCCCGGCGGTTATATTCACCATTGTTCTCTGTTGGAGATGAGCATGCTCAAGGACGTTTATTTGTGCGATCGTTTGATGGTCGATTTGGTGTTTGATGTATAACCTGATCGTCTGTCAAGTGCTATGTGCTTACCGGATTCTTCGTGTAGTCAACAGGAACTACAATAACTTTCAATGCCTTCTGATACGTACATTTTATTGCTGATATATGTTTTTCTCTAATTTTCAGGCTTTTTTTCACATTTCTCGATCGTTGTGAGAAAATATTCTCATCTTTATAGAAAACTTTGTTCTCTAATGATTGGTCGGAATTTAATTATGACGTCAAATTTTCTTGGTTTCTTCTGAATTTCAGTCCTATTGTGACGTCATAAAAAAAGGCGACCATGCCTGATGACGTCACGTATAAAGAATCCAACTTTCTGTAAATCTTTGAAAAGGAAGGATAACTTTTGTTTAGATATCGTCCAAAAATTATTAGAGAAACAGATTCCACCACTATAACTCGTGTATTACGATATTTCTCCACTCTCAACAGTTGAATCTTTATTAGTTAAAAGCTCGGCAAACCTCGCGCTTTAAATATTAAAATTTAACAGTCTCGAGGGGAGAAATATCGTAACACACTTGATGCAGTGGTGGAATCTATATGCTTCTCACATGAGTTACACATTTCCCGTCTCATTTAGCCACGTTTCGTCGCCCTTTGAAAAAAAAATGCTCGTTTATTGTTTTGTGTTTTTACGTTGTCAAGTTCGTGCTAGAAGTTGTTCTGGTGAGAAGAAATAATATTACTTCTATAGATTTAGGGTATGTCTTGAATCCCCACCCATCCACTCTTACCCCACCCCTTCCCCTTAAGGGTGCACCTTTCTAAATTGAAAAGCGAAAATATACTAGATTATAATTCTTCAATCACTCAATCGCTCTGACACCATCCTTGATTTTTTAAATATAAAAGTAGATTCTTGTCAATGGTCTAAAAGAGTTTGGAAGTCTCATTCCATGACATTTAAACTGTAGTCTTCAGATATAGTAATCATATGCAGGGTTAAAGATAAAACCAGCATATTCCATTGTTTGAATTGCCTTTGTGAAGATACAACGATTAAAAGATGTGTACGGTCTGATCGACGTTACAAGTTACTTAGTTGTAAAACTGTTAAAAACTGGTATTATTTACTTATGAAACGCATTTTTAAACTTAAGACATTTTTGATGAGTAAACTAAATTTGATTTTTTAGTAGTTTGAGAGAAATTTAGTATAATGTAAGACGACATTTACAGCGATTTGAGCAAAATGTCTTCGAAAAATCTAAATAACGCCGCATCATGATAGAATATAGTGTGGACCCATAAATGATCAAATATTCATCTCATCTGCATTAAAACTGCTGAATATGATACAATACAAAAGATGACTCTAAGATGATAAACACCACCAATGTACCTCTTTGTCTTCATCGCAAGGTCCCTTTTTGGTCTATTTATATCTCTCATTCCCTCAAAACTTTAACCTTTTAGGCTAATAAATCAAAATTTTGGGTAACTTTTGCACATTTATGTAAAAAATATGGTAATACATGAGTAATTGGATGTTAACCTGACTTTGTGCAATGCCTCGTGCAGAGGAGTGTCACGCTCTCTGCACGTTCAGAATCCTTGCAGTAACTCTTCATAGGGGTCAGTAGGTGGCCTGTTGCCTAGCTTAAGTTAAGTTCCTATCCAATTTACCCTAATTTGCCAGTGGCAGTCATAATTTTTCGTCCTTCAACCCGGTCGACCCCGTTTACAGGACCTACCTATTGTATGTATTTTTTATTTGTTCTCGTCCTGAACATGCATGAAACATTTGCCACTGGACTTTAAGCGAACAACAATCAATCATATATAATTTATACAAAATTTGACAAGTTTTCTGTGGTAAAAATAATATAGATTCTTTTTAAGGGTACCTATGGTTCCGGAATTTTCGAAATAGTATGAATGAAGAACATCCCTTGCTTAATTTTGCACAGAAAGTTTTGCTTTTCGTTAAGAGTTTCCTCCAAATTCCTCGCTATTTCTACACCATTTTCCGACATTCATTTCTCACTATTTCAATTTTCTTTTCTAATTTTAATAGGACAGCAGAACATGAATGGTTCGCAAATGTACTTCCAGCTATTATCTTTTATGTAAAAACTAGGTGGCGCCCGTCATCTTTATTTAAGTATATATATATCATTTTGCCTTTGATATAATGCAAAGTGGAAAGAGTATCTAGTAATAAAAAATATCGGCTGCACACAACGACCAAGCAAGTAGGATTAGCCATATTCTTGATTCTGAATACCATGCTATCTTTTTATGTCTTGCAATGTAGACACTTATTGTCATTATCAGATTCCACTTACCTACATTGTATAATAGTTTTTGAGATAAAGACAAAAACATGATAATTGACCCAAAATCGTCATTTAAGGGCATTAACTCCCATAGGACTCTTCTGATAAGTTTGGTGAAAGAGGAAGTAATCTGATCTTGACATTTAGAGCATTTTTGCCTTGTCCGGTTTCTTCATCTATTATTGTTTACAAGATATAAGACAATTAATGGATTTTACACTTGTGTTCTATTTTTAATCGTGTTTGTTGACTGACAGGAATGAACAAAAAACCACACGCTTTATACTAGACACCTAAAATTCAGCCAAAGTTTGTTCGAAATTAGTCTTGTAGTTTCAGACAAGATTTTTTTTAAAGGCTAACGGCCACAGGCGACGTACGCCAAGTGATGGCAAAATTATAGACCAGGTGAGTAAAAAAAAAAGGATTTAGCAGAAATTACCGAACAACAGACCACACAGACCACCAAGAATAGGCGCAGCTGGAATATTGCTTGATAAAAACTGAAATTTGCAATGGCAAATAGAATCGTAACGTTTAGTTCTTAACTGAAATCAGAAAATTAAAATGTTTTGTATCCGCGGATATCTTTGTAAGAAAGATTCGTTGATATTTTTTGTTGACCATATGAACGTCATGGACTACATTTGATTTTCAACTAAATTTGCTTTGAAAAAGCTTAACGTCATGGACTAAATTTGATTTTCAACTAAATTTGCTTTGAAAAAGCTTTACAAAACATTTAAATTTTCTGATTTTGTTTTTTGACACTTCAATAATTTTTTTTCCGTTGATTTATTAATACATTTATTAAGCAATACTAATTTTTACGTTGGCGTATAAGGGCCATTCTTTTTTTATTTTTTTTTTCAAATTGTCGACTTTAATCTTGGAATTATCAACTTTAATCTTGGAATTTCCAACTTTAATCTTGGAATTATCAATTTTAATCTTGGAATTATCAACATTAATCTTGGAATTATCAACATTAATCTTGGAATTATCAACATTAATCTTGGAATTATCAACTTTAATCTTAAAATTTCCAACTTTAATCTTGGAATTATCAAACATTCATCTTGGAATTATCAACTTTAATCTTGGAATTATCAACATTAATCTTGGAATTATCAACTTTAATCTTGGAATTATCAACTTTAATCTTGGAATTATCAAACTTAGAAATTCCAGCTTTAATCTTCCGACACTGATTTTTCCGACTTTCATTAATCGAGTGAATCTCTGAATTGAGAACATCGTGACTTTTGGCTCACTGGACTCTTGCCTCGGCCGAAAAGTGCACTTCTGTTTGATGTGCTTTACTTATCTTTTTGGTGGTGATTGCTATTGTAAACATCGATGCACATCCGCCTATTTAGCAATATAATATACTAAATGTATGTACTGCATACATAATCACAAACGTTGATTTAACATTCACTAATATTTGGTACCTGTATTTATATATAAATATATACAAAGAATGACCTTTACTTATATACAATATTTTAATTTTAAAATGCATAGATTCAGGGACTTTATACTTATGTGAATATAAAGTCCCTGATTGATTCAAATACCACAGTTGTCCATCAATATAAGATTTCCAATAACATATTTATAACAGATATGAAGAACATAACCCAAATCAATATAAAGTTATGAAAGAACAATGCATATCAATATAGAATGTCATTAAAAAGTAGTGTCATATATATAAAATCTCGCAAAATTATGACCTATATTTTTGGCATATCCACGTATAACCATTAATAGGAAGTTACAACCCCCTTCCTTTCATGGATATTAGGCTACGTGAAGCTATACAAGTAGATACACGTCTTATTTTCTTTAACATTTTACAAAATATTTAGCCGCCAAAATAATTATAAGTAGATTAAGTAAACGGAGAAACACAATAAACTATGGGCTCGAAGTAAAAAATGAGTCATTTCCAAGATTTAAGTTGATAATTCCAAGATTAAAGTTGGAATTTCCAAGATTAAAGTTGGAATTTTCAAGATTAAAGTTGGAAATTCCAAGTTAAAAGTTGATTATTCCAAGATTAAAGTTGATAATTCCAAGATTAAAGTTGAAATTCCAATAAAGTTGACAATTCCAAGATTAAAGTTGATAATTCCAAGATTAAAGTCAACAATTTGAAAAAAAATAAATAAAAAAGGATGGCCTTAATACGCTTCCGTAAATTTTAGTTATAGAAGAGTTATAGTTTATAGTCGATGTCTTTTTATTGATTTTTTTTATCACCTGTTTCACTATTACCGTACATATCAAAGTCAGGTTAACAACGCATTGAGATGGCGGAAACAACCAAAATACTCTCTGGTGAAGATTATCTTGATAATTTTGATGCAAAGTCATATGCAGGAGCATTTTTTAGTGAGATTGAAATTGAGGGATTTTCATTTACAGAATTTAGATTGAAAACTCTACACAAAATATATTCAAAAGGTAAAGCGAGTACGTTTATTTATAGAAGCTAAGTCAATGACATACACGTTCAGATTATTTCTTTCTCAAGGTTAAAAGATTATACTTTTGATAAATTTTTCATATTTTTAAATGTGGAGGATGCATCTTTCAAATAATATTATTTGCTATGAATATTCCGATTTAATCCTATAACATTTATTAATAACTTCTGGTATAATTTATTCAGTAGAAGTCAGCTAGTGTCCATAGGTAGAATACAAAAAGATTTTTTTTTAAAAATACAAAACTAAATGTAACGTTGTTACAGCGTCACACTGCATAATATTTAAACACATTACTAAAACTTAGATCATCCAAACAACGAAAACGTTCCTGAACATCACATATAAATTATATAACATGAAAGGAATATTTTCAAAGCAAAGACATATCACTATGTGGATATGTTGTCGAGAAATCGAAACTTTAAGTAACAAAATGCACATTTACGGCACCTTTTACGGGCATTCTATTCATTAATAAATCTTTTTTTACATAGTTTGAATTAATTAATTATAACTCTAGAAGTTTGTAAAAATGTTACATGTATCATTGTTATGCCCCACCTAGGGGCATTATGTTTTTCGGTCTGTGCGTCCGTTCGTTCGTCTTTCCGTTCGTTCGATCGTCCGTACGTTCGTCCGTACGTTCGTCCGTCCGTCCGTCCGTCCGTCAGTCCCGCTTCATGTTAAAGTTTTTATTCAAGGTAGTTTTTGATGAAGTTGAAATCCAATCAACTTGAAACTTAGTACACATGTTCCCTATGCTATGATCTTTCTAATTTTAAAGCCAAATTAGAGTTTTTACCCCAATTTCACGGTCCACTGAACATAGAAAATGATACTGTCCCGCTTCAGGTTTAAGTTTTTGGTCAAGGTAGTTTTTATAGAAGTTGAAGTCCAATCAACTTGAAACTTAGTACGATATGATCTTTCTAATTTTAATGCCAAATTAGAGTTTTGACCCCAATTTCACGTTTCACTGAACATAGAAAATGACTGTGCGAGTTGGGCATCCTTGTACTATGGACACATTCTTGTTTTTCATAAATTTCAAATACGGTGCAAAACGTTTTAAATGCACTTCATTTAAAAAAAAAAAGAGAAACACTGAAGATAACCTACTTTTATGTAATTTGCCTCAACTCAATAATATTAACAACAAAACATTTTCCCCGTGCATACAGTATTTTAAGTATCTAATTCTCAGGTAACATAAAAGGAAAACTGCTACTGGAAATTGGATCTGGACCTTGTATACACACAGTAATACCTGCAGCAAGTTGGTTTGATGAAATAATTATGACAGACTTTTCACCTAGTAATAGAGACATGCAAGAAAAATGGCTGAAAAAAGACCCAGGCGCACATAACTGGGACAAGTTTTTCAAATATTACAGTAAACTAGATGGTAATGAGTAAGTTGATATTTTCGGAAGACTTTTTTAACTAGATGCATCGGGGATGACATTGATGCATTTGCACGTGACCATTTCCCACACCAATAGTAAGCCAGATGGATTTTTTTATAAATAAAAGTAGTAAATGACTAATTACTAATGTCACATACCAGTGGATCTGCTTATGAATGTTTTAACATTTTTGTATAGATAACCAGAAACCATTAATTCAACAACATAATTGAATGACCCAGGATTGATTTTCTAATATCCAAGGCCGTTTTTCCGTCAGCAGAAAGTCAGTCGGATCAGAAAGCTTACTCACTTTGAACAATGTATTACTTTAAACCAAATCAGTTAGTTTATATGGAAGATATTATTGTGCACTGTTTATATGGAAGATACTATTGCGGGATAACCCATTATCTCATTATCTTTTATTGTCCTTCCCCAAACATCAACAAAATTTCCTGTGCATGTCGAAAACACTTTTTTCTCAAGTCGAAGGTCGAAATGTTTTACTTTAGAAATTGGTTAATCATTACATAACACACAAAATATCTTCACACAAAATTCAGCTAACTATTTGCAGCAGAAAAAAGTTTTTGAAAACTGATATATAAGGATTAAGACGTGTTAAACTATATGATCCATCCACTAGGAGATCAAGAATAGAAACATGGTTAACCGAACTTCTTCCATTCGGTATTAAGGTCCATGTCGAGAAGTCGTTTGAATGTGCATGATGTATAAATTCGCAGCCGGGTGACTGGTTTTAACGGGCCATTAAATGTAATGCACTGTGTAGGGATAGTGTCCTCATCACCCGGAAAAACTCTTGCAATAACTTATTCAGCGTTCTGCAAGTGACCAGCTGTAAGACAAAATTTCGGTCCATAACCAGCACATCCTGTGTTTCCAATGGTGGTCCAGAATTCCTGCACTCAATTGCGCTCTTTTCGATTTGAAGAAGTTTTTGCCCAAAATTTGAATGAAATATGTTTCACATAACTACAAAAATGACCAATCTATAATTGCAAAGAACTTTATTAATAAGAACTCAGGAATGCATGTCTGGTGCATGTATAATTTTCATACGATTTTAAAAAAAAACACGATAAATATCGGTTAAAAAAATAAGTCATATGATATACCGTAAGTCATGAACAATTACGACAGCAATAAGAAAAAGTCAGGAAAACAGCTGGATAAATGTTATATTTATGGCTGTGAACATAAGATAACAGCATGTTAAAACACTTGTTATCAGCTCAGAATTCAGTGGTTCGGTACTTACTTGATTTATATAATAATTTTCTTACATTTTCCGTTAATAAATTTAGAAATTATCAAGAAAGTTAGGTTCCGAATCCTTCAAGCAAAGTAGACCTTGAATGGACTGGCTATTTTTGTAGTTCCCATTTTAGTCTCATATCTCTTCGCGTGTTCAGGGGCTTATATATCATGGAACTGAATTCTAAAGACGATAAATCCGGAAAAGCGCTCTGAACGAAGCAAATTAATATACTAGTAGTGTTATTTTTATTTTACAGAACAAATGAAGAGAGGATGCTTGGGGTAACATCTTTTTTTTATCAAATGCGTAAAATAGGCCGTCATGAATTATTAGGTTTCTAATAAGAGACATACTGCATTAAATATCTATAGCAATAAAAAAAATTGACTACGTAATTTCGCCTCTAGTGGAAAGTTCTCTCATCGGCAATCATACCACATCTCCTTATTTAAGAACTACATAATGTATCTACACGTACTAATTCTTTTTATAGGGACAACTGGCAACAACTTGAGGCTGCTTTAAGACCAAAGATAAAACGAGTTCTGACCTGCGATGTATTCAAACAAAATCCTCTCGATCCAATTCAATTAGATCCAGTTGATGTCATCTGTACCAGTGCGTGTCTGGAATCAGCCTGTCCAGATAAAGATGCATATCACAATGCGATGAAAAATGTAGTATCTTTGTTGAAACCGGGCGGAAAACTTATTCTGATCGGAATTCTCAATTGTCCTCATTATGTTGTTGGGAGTGAAATTTTTCAGTGTTTGTCCATCTCCAGGGACGAAGTTATCAATACAGTTAAAGCGAATGGTTTAGATGTAATTGAATTATTTGATGACGATACTTCGGTAGAAGAGGGCACAACAATATTTAATGGAACAGTTTTTATACTTGCTGAGAAAAAATAACTGGTGTTGGTGTTCAATCGCTTTAGTACATTGACTAAAATATCGAATATACTGATATTTTTCATCGGCGAGATGCCACTATATATAGTATGTGTTTAAGCCAATTAGGACTAGCTTTATATTAATTCACAATCTGAAATTTTTATTGATGAGACTTGTTTTTAATAGACCAAGATTGAAATGTTCAGATTTTAAGATCTCGATAGCACTGTCAACTTAGAAGCCAGTCCTTCGGTACTGTCATGTTTTTTAATGATACATTTTATTACACCCCACTTTAAAGAGAGGTCTTATTAGTCGCATATTGTAATAGTGTCCTAATACGATTTATACGGTGTCAGTAAATTTCATATGGGGAGAGAGCGAAACGAATCTCTAGCCCCATATAGAATTTACTGACACCATATATATCTTATTTGGTCACTAGCAGATTGTGTAAGGAATTTATCTTACCGACTATCTTTATATTTGGAAATTAGATGAAGTTGTAAAAAAAATATTAAATTTTGTTTTTCTTCTGTTATTGTTATATATATATATAGTAATCAATGTGAGTCTTTTAATCAATATTTGGTGACTGGTGAACTATTATAGTGACCAAGTCTTCTATTTGTTGCAACAAACTTGCACTTAGCGTTACAAAAACAAAAGTCAACAATAACAATATAATACTGCATGACAACATGCATCACATATTGATACAAGTTACATGATAAGGTTTCGATGCCATGATGTTTTTTTAAAGGGCCGTAACTCTACTACTAACCGTATATTTAAAATATAACACGCCCACTGACCGTGTTTGAAAAATACACGGTTTCAAGGTGTTCACTTTTAACCAATGATATTCATAGAAGTCTATAGCTAGGAGGAAAATATAAATTGTGATACACATGTCCGTCTGTTCGTCCGCCCGTTACAAGTTTAGTTTCTGCATGATAATTACAGTACCTCTTGCCCAAATCGTTTAAAATGTAAACACAATGTCAAAGACCATAAAACACAGGTGAAATTTGATTTTGAGTGTGTGTGATGAACTGTTTAAGAATTTTGCTCCTTATTTGTCTTACTTACCATAAATAAAGGCAACAGTAGTATACCGCTGTTCAAAAGTCATAAATCGATTAAGAGAAAACAAATCCGGGTTACAAACTAAAACCGAGGGAAACATATCAACTATAAGAGGAAAACAACGGAACAACAGAAACATTAAACTGCAACAACAAAAAAACGCCAACATACATAGAAACGGACTATTTGATAACAACTGCCATATTCCTGACTTAGTACAGGACATTTTAAGGAAAAGATGGTGGGTTGAACCTGGTTTTACTGCTAGCCAAACATCCCTCTTATATGACAATGTTAAAAAATATATATCGCTAAAATGACAAAACTACGTGACAGGAAAACAGTACAAACAAACGCAAGAACACCCAGAACAGAGAAATGCATAAATAAATAATATAATAGTACATTACAACATGTAAACCACAGAATAACAACGGACACCACTAATAGTGACGTATATATAACCTTGAAATTCATACAATTATATGGAATGAGATCCAAAATTTCACAATTATTTTCGCAATACTAATCCAAATAATTATCATGATTATGACGGTCTTGAAAGGCTACTTTAATTTAATGCTGTGGCGATCATAATTTTTTGGACTAACACAATACTTTGTCCATGGAAAATGGAAATTAACTCGACTATACTGACAAATAAGACATACGTGAAATGTACCGAAAATACAGAGTTCAAACCACAAACGATAAGACATAACACAATATCCCTCGATGACTTTTTTTTACCCTTCCGGAAAACAAAAAACTATCCTTTTCTGTTCGTGTAGTAACATTTCTTTTTGTTTGGCCTACCACAGTCTCTTAATATTTAGATTTCAGTATCCCATCTAAATCGTTCCTGTATATTTTACTTTTAATAGGTTTCCCCATATGTTATCTTTTGCATAATAAGGAATCAATATTTTTAGCTTACAAGGGCTTCCAATGGGTTTTTTTTTTTGGTATTCCTCGGGACTACTTTTGTACCCAATATAAACAAATTGGCAGCTTGAATTCGCGATACTCATATAAAACATGCACATATTATTTATACAATCAATTGCTGTTAAAGAAAACGAAATTGAAATAATATAAAGGACTTTAATGCTTTTAGCCCGAGTTAATTGATGGATTAAGTGGGCCAATTGTCCATTTTCTTTTTTTTAATTTGATTCTTTGCACAGGGAAACACAACCTTAGCAGGACAAACTGTATCCCTGTCTAAATAAAGAAAGCTTACGTGGGATGAACATGTTGTATTGTGCGGGATCAGGCCACAATTTTACTCATTACATGTGCATTACAGTCTATGACAGAAAAGGGGTTGCAAAATATGAACATGCCCATGGGATATGGAATATGTGTTGATTATTCATGTGGTGCTTGAAAAGGTTAAAATATTGCGATGTTAAACGAAGATCTCAATAAATTACGTGGAACATGTAGCAAACAAAAGTCTATTATTTTGTCAAATATAACTGGAAAAACATCAATATGTGTTGCTTTTTTGACTTACGTAGACGAGACAGAAATTGTATTTAGCTGAAAAAAAAGCAAGCAAAGCCGGGCTTCAGGCTTACTTGGAAACTACCTACTCCAGGTTTTGTTACGTGTTACTATGATTAATTTAAAAACGATCAATTTGTTTGTAATCGGGATTAAAAGTACAAGGTATCTAAGCCACTATATGTATAATAATTTATCCACGCTGTCATTCTGGTATTACTTGTAGGAAACAACCGATTATCTTACCATTGCCATCATTAGGTCTACTGGACTCATCTTGTGGGGATTGATTTTATGGATAGTTTTCTTTATAGTATCAAAGTCTGGTCTGTTTACTGATACAGTATCCCAACATTCATTCAGTAACTACAAAATTTGTATTCCATTTTATATAAATGTTTTTTGTATTTTGGACATTGCGTTCATACCACATACACATTATACGTCAAATGATCAATTCAGTCATATGTATTCTATGTATATTTGCATCAATCAAGGTATTTCGTCGTACATGGTATATATCATATATTGCTATATCAGTATGTGTATGTATTGGATAATTTGGTATTCAAATAAGAGCATTGAAAAACAAAAGAGCAAACACAGGTAAACATAAAATAGAACGATTTCAATAAAATATGACAAACTTTAAATCGTCCCTAGTCTAAAATTCACAGAGAAAATCCGTCACCAGCACAAAGTTCTCTAAATAACAGAACAACAAACTTTAAAATATGACCAATTACCACAACTGACGAGGTTTATGTTTTTGAACAGACACCCACACGAATTAAAGAAGCATCTTTAGGTCAACACAGAATGCACATGAATATGTGGTGGGGCTAAACAAGTTCAAAATAACATGCACATGAATATGTGTTGGGGTTAAACGAGGTTTTTTTACCTCCCTTTTTCTCATGGATTTTTGAACTACATAAAGATACACAAAAAGCATGCAATAGAAATCAGAAAAAAGGGAAAGAAGTTAAGTCTAAGGTAACAAAAAATAGTGCAAATAGAACAACAATTTAAATAATGTAAGGTAATCTACGCAAGCTATGATTTAAGTATTCACACTGCTGTTTAATATAGGAACCACGATCTTGTACAATGATAAGAGGAGACCTGTGAATTCTTCAAATGAAGAAAAAACAAAAATAAGAAATGAAAGAGTGTAAAAATTGTTTTTCTTCATTAAACTATATTCTTCAGAGTTTGACGGATATTAGCCTAGCAGTTTAAGAGAAACAAACATTGTAAGGTTAATAAACAGAAGACCGTACTTTGACCTATAATGGTTTACTTTTTTTAAATTTTGACTTGGATGGAGAGTTGTCTCATTGGCACTCATACCACATCTTCTTATATCTATAGAACAATCTGCAGGTTTTGTTGCCGCTTCTTTCTTATTCTTTACAACTTACAGCAAAATTGTTTGTAGCATTGGAAGCTAAGTGATGACAAACGTATAACGTATCTTAGTCGAACATGGTACACTATTCCAGAAAACTTTATTTTACATAGGTTTAGTAGTTTTAGAGAAAAAGATGGCAATTTAATTTTACCACCATATTTTACTAGACGTCGATACCGCTACTTTTTACATAGAAAACTGACACATTTGCGGGGTAATATTCAACTAGTTAAAAAACAATAACGGGCAGCAAAGAAATCTAACAAATACTGTTTATAATATTTCAATGTTTCAAAAAATAATTTGCCGTCCAATTTCATTGTAAAATAAAAAAAAAAAAAAAAGAAAAAAAAAAATACAAGCACTTACACAATCGACGGCATATTAAAATATGTCATAGATATCATGCATGAAATGTTCAAACAGTTAACTACACATGTTAATGTCTCTAACGAGATTTAAAGTGTAGATGTGGATGTGCATATAAGATAAGAAAAATAGAAGGATTGTTTGGTAAAGTTGATTCTTGCATTTTATTTATGGAAATGCAATGTTTTGAGGTAATCGTTAATTTCAACTTCATACTAATAATCGTTATAAAAACACAATAAGAATTTATCTTAAATGAAGTGTGGCCAATTTCTCCTGTATTTGTTTCACTGACAGGGTAAAAGACTAAAGGTTTTCAAATCCTCCTCGATTGTCTACATATATACACCTAAAAAAAAGTATCGCACCACCCTGATTTTTCTCACAAATCAAAATAGTATAACATAAAATATTATTCATGGAAAGTATATAATGTATATATATATAAATAAGAAGATGTGGTATGATTGCCAATGAGACAACTCTCCATAAGAGACCAAATGACACAGAAATTAACAACTATAGGTCACAGTACGGCCTTCAACAATAATCAAAGCCCATACCGCATAGTCAGCTATAAAGGCCCCGAAATGACAAATGTAAAACAATTCAAAAAAGAAAACTAGCGGCCTGATTTATGTATAATATAATGAACGAAAAACAAATATGATATACAGCAACAAATGACAACCACTGAATTACAGGCTCCTGAATTGGGACAGGCACATACATAATATGGCGGGATTTAACTAGTTTGAAGGTGCGCCAACCTACCCCTAACCTTGGACAGTGGTGTAACAGTACAACACAAGAACATACTTTAAAAATAAGTTGAAAACGGCTAAACTCATCAGATCGACACAAAGCAGAAATACATCTAACAAAACACATAGAGGACGTGGCAGGGTACTTATACATCCCTACAACAAAAAGACACTAATTATAGATCTGAGAGTACTCGCAGTTACTGACAGCTAGTTCAAAGCCAATAACAACTAATAACAAAAATCATGCATCTAAGACTAAAATATTAATAAGTACACATCCAACATCTTATGGATTTAGTGTAAAGACGTAATTAACAGTCGGAGAAAAACATGACCTTGTGTA